GAAACCAGATTGCACACGTACTCCACCACAAATTGCCATGATACAAAATTTTTTTTTTTAAATTATAGTAAAAATAAATAATGTTTTTTTTAGAAATAATAAAATCAAATTCAAGTAAAACCTATTTGTTGAGATAAAATGAAATTAGTTTTTTTTGACACTGAATAAAACCAGAAAGTAAAATTTTGAAAAATTAAAATTGTTTTTTTTTCTTTGGTGGAAAAAGGAGAGAGCGAATCTCGAGTTGGTACGCTGAGGCTACCAACGTCTGGGGGCGGGGGGTGTGACAGTCGTGTTACGCTGTCACATGCCTCTCCCCTCCTCAGCACGCAGTCCCACTGTGATGGGACATAAACACGAAGATGTACCTGACGCAGAAGCCGCAGCGATGCGCGTGTATGTAAGTGTGTGTGCGAGAGAGAGTCCGCGTGTCATCGCACGCGGAATCGCCTGTCTCCTTCCTTACGGAGCAAGGGCCGGCTAATTGGTCACGTGACCAATCAGAGCGTCTTGCGAGCGCGTGAAGCGTGTAGATACGGGGAGATACTCGGTGATCGCGAGAGACTAAGCATCGTGCGCGTTGCTCCAAAATTCGACCGTGTCGCGAGATTGAATTACGATAAAAGGCGGCAAGTGCGTGACGCGAGATTCGCACAACTTGCACGAGGTATATTCGACGCGGGTCGATCGAGAACGGATCGGTGTATTCGCGAGAGGTATCTCCGTCGAATTGACTGGTGAATTAGAATCACGTTATCTTTTGTTATTGCGACTACGCGAACTGTGCGAACCAGCAGCAGCCCACACGAGCGAGAGGGTCAAGCGAGCTGCGATTACAGCGAGCGGCCATCGACGGCATACACCAACTGTAAGTACCTCTCGAGTACTCGACTTCTCCTGCGTGTGCAATCGCGTCTCAGTGTGATCGAGTGAGTGTGTCCGCGATTGCGCTGCTGCGTTCGTTATTTGAACTCGATTGAATAAATATTATATTAATTTGCCTTTTCATCCCCTTCGTTATTATTTCGGCAAACCCTTCCCGTTAACATCTTCCTAGGCTGGACCACGACGCCGCCACGGTCGGTGCGAACTGACGCACCGAACAACTGAGCTTGCCGGCGATCAGCGCGAGGACGCGCACCGCCTAGGAATTCTCCACGAAAGTAGTAGCGGTCACGGGAACCGTTACAGTTTCAAACTTTTGATGAATGCGTGCTTTGGAAAATGCATGGAAAACTAGAATAATATAATTCAAGTCGTATAATATTTGACAAGTGCATACTTAAATACCTTAAATAACCTTAAAGTAGTTTGATGCATCCAAAATAACCATTAGTATGAGTTTATTGTCCGAAATAAACCTCGAACTGATACCTGCATTCGAAACAATCCAAGGGTCTTAATCATTTTCTTATTGGGTGAATCATAAGCTTTTTCGGACTTGGGAATCTGCAAATGTTGTTTTTATGTGAATCTGCAAATTAATGATCCATATTCATGTGAAAAGTTATTATTCAAGCCAAAACTGTAGATAATTGCTTTTCGTAGGAGTAGGTGGGTGGGGGGGGGTTACAGGGGTAGTTTTCGGTAGTTTTTGTTGAAATTTTTTTTAGGACTTCTCTGAACAATTTTGAATCGATCTTAGTAATAAAAAGTTGGTCTTGTTCGTGTCAATTTTTTTTTTTGGGCAACTTTTGATTTTCATACTCTTCATTTTTCAGCTGCAAGTTGGTTATGCAATGTTAAACTTTCATTAAAAAATTAAGAATAGTCATGTGGTGACTGCCACTCTCTCGCAAGCATCACTAGCGCCGCGCGCAGCCTGTGCGCTGCCTTCTTCACCGACGCGAGCCGTCTCGCCGCACGCTGCGCCGTGCTTGCTCACTCTCTGTTCAACCGCCAACTTGAACGCATCCCTGCAAATAAAGATCAGCTCAGTTATTCTAACCTCGCTTCCTTTATTTGCCTACCTCTCTCTATCCTTTGACCAGCAATTAGCCGTCAACCTGGCAACGGCCAACGCTTCAGTCATATCATAGGAAAGAGTTGGTTCTTTCATTTGTCATGTACAAATTCCTGAAATAATTCTGTTTCGATTCGTATTAAACTTCTTTTAATAGGGAAAAATAATTGGAACTGCTGTTTTAATTTTCACGTTTTTTTTTTCAAATAATTAATATATTGCTTTATGACCTCATTAGAACTCTTATTTTCATTTTTTGCATGCAAAAACTATCCGGAAAATTGACCAATTTCCGCCACGAAAATAGTCATATCCAAGACGCAAAATTAAAATTGTGTACATAGGTGTCAAGCGACCGCGCGTGGCTATGGTGTCGTGTGCATTTGCTAGTTACGTAAATCGTCTGCATAGCCTATTCGTTATCTTAGCTGTTCGGTCTAACGCGTGTCTATGGCATGGTGCTCGCGTGTCTTCCGATCATGTGGCGAGTGAGTGACAAGGCATTTTTATCAATACGTAGTCGCGTGCGTAAGCGCGCGAGATTAAAAGGTCGATCTTTTGACTATATCGCGATCGGAAATTTGACTATTTTCGTTGTATAGAAGTTACGTTAAGATAATGTAACACCATGTTTGAAACTAGTAAAACTGAGCCAATGATTCTAAATAAAAGTACTTCTTTGAGCTGTTCAAAATATTTATTTATAATATTTTTGTTACTTTTAGTATTATTTATTGATTCGATATTAATAAGATATTAATAATTGGTTTAATTAAACTACAGAAAATGTTTTCCCACTCATTTGCTACATTCATTCCACCTTAATAATTATTTACATGATAAAAATGAACACGCATTGTGGATAAAATGCTCGGCCTTGTCGCTGGGCATTTAAATGCGCGCCTACAGTGATCGCAACGCCGCCTGCCTGATGGGGGATAGCACTACTGCTCAAAACTGGCTTCGCAAAATCCTACGGATCCGACCTTCTATTTGATCTATATTCTCTGCTAATAGCTGGTCCGAAAAGTGTCCCCTATGGCCCGAGTATCGAACAAAATTTTATAGTACTGTGCAAAGTTCACATTTATGCCCCCTTTTCCGAGTCATGAGTCGAAGTTCTGGTAGCGCGAAGTGAGGTTAGCGCACGAGCGCATGCGAGTGTGATGTGAACGCAGCGGTGCCAGAATGTGCGACTTATGCCACAGAAAAGCGTGCCATAAATGTGAACTTATGCCGTACAGTGCTATAAATGACTTTTATGCAATAGTATGACGAAAAATGTCTTTTTTCGCACATTTTTTAGTGCGCTAAAAGCGTTTTTAGACACTTGTGTGCGGTAAAATGCCCCATTTTGGACACGGGTGTGCGGTAAAATGCCTCATTTAAATGAACTTATTTTTCGCCTACTATTGCATAAAATTCTGTATGCAACACGTGCCCAGCTTTTTGCGCACAGTGTGCGCAAAAAGACACGAGTGCCGGTTATGCCGTGCCCAAAAACGCCTTTTGGGCACTTGTTACACAAATAACTATTTAAAATTAAGTTTGTTTTAAAAAATTAAAAAATCCCTTTGGGCACGGGTTAAAATTTTTTTAATGAGAAAAAATCGATTTTTATGTAGAGAGTTTAATGTATATATTTCCTATATATACATATAGGATAATATTTTATTGTATATATTGTATGTAAACATTTCCTTTATAAATATTACTGACTTTGATCCCTGCTGAAAAAAATCATGGGAAAAATCATATGATGTATTGACATGGTTAATCATATGATTTTTTATATGATTTATCATATGATTTTCCCAGCAAGGGGAGCAAACCCTTATTTTAATTGAAAAACTATTGAAGAGGAGGTGCCAAAATATAATTTGAAGCATGAATTTATTAATGTCATTCAAAATGAATATAATACTTTTGAAAATAGCTAAAATAATGTACATTTAGAGCACAACAATTTGAATCATTTAAAAGAGTTTGAAGTAAATTATAAATCTGCCGAACTGTTGAACTGCCTCAATTTGTACCGTTTTGTTAAAGATTAGCACCAATATTTTCTTGATGATAAGATAGCATAGTTATATCTGAATTTGCTGCTTACTACTTTTTTAATTCACTTCAAACTATTTTAAATAATTCAAATTGTTGTGCTCAAAATGTACATTTTTTAGCTACTTTTAAAGTATTTCTTCATTTACAATGACATTTATAAATTCACACTTGAAATTTATTTTGGCACTTCCTCTGCAATGGATTTCATATTAAAATAAGAGTTTGCTTTCTTGTTGGGAAAAATCATATGATTAATCATGCCAAAACATCATATGATTTTTCCCATGACTTTTTTCAGCAGAGATTTTTACATAATTTCTACAGTTTTTTTTTAATTTACAGAATTTTACTTGCGATCCATCCATTTTTTGACTTCAACAAAATATGATATATAAGTGAATTATATATCGACTTGTAATAAATATTATGTTTTATAGGAAAAAATTTTGAATAATTATTTTCCATAACCTCAATAAAAAATTATGTTTAAATTAAAGTTTAGAAATTATACAGTAAAATTTTCACGAACTAAAAGAAAAATATATGCAAACTATCTGCAATCTGTATCTCATGAATATTCTTTAAATGTATATATTGTTTACCGCAGTTCAAATGAAATAAAAATGAAACTCTAACCAATTTTATCATCATAATAAAAATCTAATCAATTTATTTTAATATAAGCTAGGTTTAAATGATTCGCATGAGACCAATGATTGATGGCTCCAAAATTCAATATAATTTAATAAAGATCGTTAAATAAATTTTTTAATTATATATATCGTTGTAATTACAAAATTACTTTAATTCATATTCTAAAATTATATTGTATTTTTCTATTCCAATATAATTTCCATTATTGTATTATCGATTCTTGTTTCACGAACACAGCATTTGTAAGGTTTCAGTGCTTTGCAAAGAAACTTGCGTGTAAAGAAAGTCAATTCGAATTTGTATGAAGTATTGATTGAAATTTTTCTATTCCAGCTGTGTATTATTCTAAGATTTTGAGTTGTACATAAAATAATGTTGATGTAAATTAATGATCGTTTAACTATTTGTAAAAATTGCATAAAAGTGAATGCTATTACTCTAAATCGTTACACTCTTCAAAACGAACTCTTCAATGCTTGCGTACAGATTCCTTTGCTATGGAAGTCGGAGACAAAGAAGATACAAGTAAACATTACTTTGTAGTAAATAGTTCTTCAAAAATTGTCTCATTTCATGAAACTTTGAGTATTGAAAATTTTCGTGATAATTTACCGAATTCAGATCTACAATCAAACACTTTGATGAGTTTGATTGAAACGCAGTCACCTTCTGCATGCATTCCATCAAAATTAGGTGAGTTTTACTTAATATTTTATTTACAGATAAAATAATAAATATCATGTCTCTTTTTCATCTCATACAATGAAAGAAGTTATAACGTTTCTTCAATTAGAGCTTTTTGCGTAGCTCAGAAATTTCTAATCATCTGATAGATTTAAATGTATTAGTATATAATAGACCTAAACCATTAACAGACGCTTTTTCAAACAAGTTTTTAATTTTGAAAATTGCAATAAAGTATTTTCGAAATAGCTGCTTCAACAGAGCAACAAAAAGGAGTGTTTTAGTAATTAACGTTGAATATAATATGTTAAGCAAAAAGTTTATAGTCTGCATTTTGATAACTATTAATTATACCTTGGCTACTCAGAAATATATATTTAGCCCTTAAGAGGTAATAATTAATTTACGAATAAAATAAGCTATATTTAAGACACTCAGGAATAATTTTCACTTTAATCGCTTCAGGTAGCTGATGTTACACTTTTTCAACGTACCAATAATAACATTAAAGAAAAGATTTAAAATCTAATTATTTTTTAATAATTTCCGCAAAGATTCAAGATTTAATAAAGTTTAGCTAGTTTTCTGAACCCAGAGAATATACTAGTAGAGTAACGTATTTATAATGCTCTGCATTACCGCTTGGATTCATGCACCTACTAATTCATGAGAAATTTGTATGGACACTTCGATGTAATTTTGAAACAAGTTAACTTCATTGTGGGTTGAAATATTAAAAATAAACGTGCAAGTATGCAATGTTGTAGAGTTTAGCATTCACTGTTTTAAGATGTAGGGAAACTAATCAACTAATATTTTATTTTTTATCTCGATCGTATTTGGGACACCATTTAAGAATGTTTGTTTTATGTTCTTATAAGTAAAAATAATTAAGAGATTATAACGAAAAAAAGTTGCTTCGTTTCACGAATAGAACGAAAATAATAAGACTATAAATCAAAAAAGTTAATTTATCTGTTCAAAAAGGCCAATTTTCGAAAAACTGATTGCACCATTAGAAAGATGAGAAAAAATACACAAAAACATGTATTTGTTTATTTTTATGGTGAAAACCTAACGCGTGATAAATAAAGAAACGTAAAGAGTAGTGAAAAACAGGCTGCGGCGCTCGAAAATGGCCGACTGCGCGGTCTTCTTTTCTTCGATCATCGCTCGAGAAAATCGAAAAAGTCCCTTTTTTTAGAGTCATTTCTTATGTATAATCGCGAGATCTTTCGATCTAGACCCTTAAAAAATTCTAAACCTGGAGGTAAAAAGATACAGCATGTTTTATGTTCGGGTCCATTTTTCGAGGTTATGGAGGCTGGTTTTTACTCTTTTGAGCTCACCAATGAAAAGCTGAGGAAAAAACACATCGAAATCACTTACCCGTGTTTTTTTCTAGATAAAATATGAAGTCAAAAACTGCGTGATTTGGCTGTTCGCGCACACCGCTGGGGCATCTATCGTGATTTGCCCCATATTTTGATTGGAGTGTTACGTCCGGACTATTTGTTAAATAATACCCGAGCATTTATTTTACTCTAACTGTACAAAATCTGAGAAACACGTTTAAGGTCTGACACAAGACTTATTATAGAGTTTGCACATATAAAATGGATATTATATTTTTCGTTATACTTTTAGTTATAATGTACCACGCGATTGGCTCAGCGATAGCTCAGTTAAAAAAACTAGTATAAGGTGTTAGCGCGTGAAGACCGCAAGATGTTAGTGCGTCTGTCTAAGAGAGCTGAGAGCCGACCGCCCGAGATTACAAAGATCCGCGCTATATATAATAATTGTTGAATCCCAAATTACAGTGGGGCGATATTGGAAGAATATCCGAATTTGCGTAAGCTATCCCGTGACTAGAGCGTAGTATGATAACCCGTAAATTACATCATTCTTTTTATTACCCCTTTTAATGACATTATATCGAAAAACTCGAGGTCGAGAAACAGCGTGACGAGACTCGATTTTTTAGATATAACAGGAGTTTTGAACCAATCTTTATCTGTGAGGTCTTAAAATTTTGATAAAATTGTTCTTCTCCTCAAATGAAACAGATTTTCAAAAAAGATCCCTAAAAAATCACCAAAACTTGTCCTACAACATGAAAAATCATAACTATAACCTTGAAATACTTTAATTATGTCATTTAACACAGGTGCCCTTAATTTAATCATGGCAATATGGCAATAAAGAGGTTGGTTTCGATGATAAATTCAAGTTTTAGTTTCTTATTCAATAAAAAAGGAGATATATTACAGTCTATATTAATTATCATATCAACGTATGCTTATACTTCAAATTATCCAAATGCTCATTATTAAACTCAATCTACCATTGTTCAATTACATGGCTATGATATGAATGAAATCAATCATATTCTAACAATTATTCTGCAGCTTAACAGAAATTTTTATTTGTCAAATACTATACCAAATTAAAAAGTTTACCATACAGTAATTTAAAATTGTGGTAATACTTTTTTCAAAAGATTAAATGAGTGCAAGTATGACAGTCTTATACCAATTCAAATCTAACTCACGAATCTTTGAACGAATCTCTGAAAGTTTTTGGTATGCTGATGGGACAGCAATCTGGATTTACAAAGTACCCATGTTTCAAGTGCTTGTGGGACAGCAGAGATCGTAAAAACCATTATACCGACCACAAGTGGACAGAGAGAAATTCTTTAGAAGCTGGACATCATAATGTTATTAACAGTTCGTTAGTAGACCCTAGAAAATTTTTACTACCTCCTTTACACATTAAATTGGACATTATGGAACAATTTGTAAAAGCTTTGAGTGAGAGTGAGGAATGGTTACAAATATTTAGAATCTAAATTTTCCTTTAAATCTGATGCCAAATTAAAAGAAGGAATATTCGATGGACCAGAAATAAGAAAAATGCTGAAAGATGACAATTTTCCAACTAAGATGACTGAGGTTCAGAAAGCTGCATGGCACAGCTTCAAAAATGTTGTGGAAAATTTTCTAGGTAATCGCAGAAGCGATGATTACAAAGTTTTAATATCAACAATGATAAACAATTTCGGTGAAATGGAATGTAATATGTCTTACAAACTGCATTTCTTGCATAACCATTCAGATGAGTTCCCGAAAAACTGTAGTGATTTTAGCGACGAGCAGGGAGAACGATTCCATCATGACATCAAACATATGGAGCAGCGATATCAAGGTAGATGGGATGTGGCAATGATGGCTGATTACTGTTGGATGTTGAAGAGAAAGAGAGTGAAAATAAAGGACTAAACGCAGACGGCAACCTTTAGGCCGATCGTTTGAAGAAAAAAGGGGCGTTACAAATGAAAAAAGTAAAAAGGCATACGAAATTAACAATATTTCATCAAGTTTTGCCCTCTTTTCATTAACTTAACCTTGAAATGACATTGATCTTAACTTTTTACAGGTTACTGTGATGGCTAGTTTGACCATCTATTTATTATTAATAAAATATGCCAGCTGACTGAAAGCTAATGACTCGACTCTATGTCTCTTGGGTGGGGCGTGGTGGAGAAATGAATAACACAGGGACTTGGATTCACACACACAAGACTGTTTATTTAACCTTAATCCTAGTTACATAAATGTTGCTTACTATGTACCGGTGTTCTTATCTTCGGCGGCGACGTTCGGTGCGGCGACTGAAGGCGTCGGTGTGGTGTCTGTTGTAGGGCGGGCCCGTGACGGTCTGGCCTTGGCTGGTGCGGCGTCGGTGAGGGTGATCGGCGTCGGCGAGATCGGTGTCGAGGAGATCGGCGTCGACGAGGGTGTCCTCGGTGTTGATGAGGGTGTTCTCGGTGTCGATGAAGCCGGCACGGCGTCGGCGTGCTGGGCAGCGTCGGTGGTTGCAGCTGGACGGGCTCGCGTACTTTTCGAATAACTAACTCGCACTGATTCTATCGGGTCGGAGCCGAGCAACAGGCTGGCCTTCAAGTAAACTGCGAACTTTGACTCGAGAAGTAAAGATGTACGTGGATACCGAACCGACGAGCGTCGATGTGTACGCCTCGAACCGAGAATGAACACTGGCCCCGAGACTCTCTGAGTCTCGGTTTATATACTGTTGGTTGCTGCCGTACCCTCTTTGTCTGAGCGAGGGTCGCCGTGAACTTTATGTGTCCTCTAGAGCTTGCGGGCTGCGCGTTTTTTCCCATCGGTCGTTTCTGGGAATCTTAGGCGAAGGCTTGAGCCGTCCCCTTAGTTTCTTCGCTTGCAAGTTGTGACCTGATTTTTGCCAACATCCGTTTTTTCTGCGAATTGCCCGAGCCGGTTACCCTATCGAATTCCCGGTAACGGAGGCATCATAAATTTCGACTTGTAGCTTGCAAGCGCGAGTTATGCTTCACACAAGCGCGCGCTGCTCCATGCGTGTGCGCACTCACACCAGTGCGCGCTGTGGTGTACGTGTGCAGTCGCACACTAACGTTCACGGCTCTGTCCGTGTGCGCACTTACACCAGTGCGCGCCGCGGTGTACGTGTGCAGGCGCGCACTGACGTTCGTTGCTCTTATCTGTATGCGCACTCACACAATTACGTGCCGCGATGTACATGTGCGGCCGTACACTAGCATGCCCGTTCGGACTTGGTGTTGCATCGGGCTGATTTGCCGCCCCGGTGTTTTATCTACTCGTGGCCGTAGGGATGCTATGACCCTTGTGACTGGGTCATTACATTACTCAATCAAAAAGCTGAATTACTTAGCTCAAAAAACCTATACACAATCTTTTTTCGATACTTTGTCGTTTTCACTAGATTTAATCTTGAAATAAGCTTAAAATTAGTCAGTATAGTGGAAATGAACTTTGATTCAAATTCACCGACCCTTGAAACATAAAAAATATGTTTTTCGGACTTTTATATCGAATTTATTATGTTTGACCTTCAAATGACCTCGAAGGTGAGGTCTGAGAGGTCATCTGACTTTAGATTTGATTTCAGCATCCTCAAAAACCCATATAGGAGTTTTTTTCAAA